AATTTACATATTTTATCTTCTTGTCCTTCGGTAACAAAACCGATGGGTTGTTGCATGTAAATTTTTTCTTCTAATTAACCATTTAGAAATGCTGTTTTTACATCCATTTGATGTAATTCTAAATCTAAATTGGCGACTATGGCTAGAATGAGTCTTATAGAGGTAAACCTCAAAAGAGGCGAGAAAGTTTCATCATAGTTTATTCCTTCCTGTTGTATGAATCCTTTTGCTACAAACCTGACTCTGATACCAATGTTGGGTTTCATCATGGGATAGGATACTAACCTCTTGTAGCATCACAACGGAATCTACGAAAACTAAGTGAACTCCGCAAACATCGGTTCGGCTAGGATGAGTTGGGCAGTGAACTCCGAGTAATATGCACAAGACTTGCAAAACAGATGAGCACTCTGATGCCAAAGTCAGTGAAAGTTCAAACTAACTCGAGAGAGAATCGAAATGTCAGCGTACCTCCAAATGAATAGAATGACTCTATTTATAGGCGAAGTCCCCGACAGTGTTCCCAACAAGGCCTCAATGGCTTTTTAAGGTTACCGTGAAATGCAGCATGTTGTCGTGGAGTTTGTCGGAGATGGGACTGACCTAAGGTAAGCTAATTGGTTCAACCAAAGATGTGGGAATGCGATTATGAACATGCTTTTTTGGCTCGGTCACCGATTCGGGTTCGGCTTGATCAAATGGATGAGTCGAGATGAGTATACTTGGGTTCATCCTCTACGGGATCTATGAGCCACGTGTCACCTTCCACACCCAGTCATTTTCTCCAACGTAGATGCCGAAATCTACCTCCAATAAGAAGAAGGCGAGGGAGAGAGATTAGAGAGATAAGAAAAGGAATAATTGGGATAGGGAGAGGGAGAGAGAAGAAGATGGTTTGACGAAGCGTAAGATAAGTAATTTCACATATAAATCACATTAGCAAAAAGTATTGAAAATGAAGGTTTGAAAAATAAGGACAAATTTAATTTTTGCCATTTGAGGGGGGCATTAAGTCCAAAAATTCATTATCTTTATTATCAACTTCCATATACGATGAAGAGGGATTCAAATCTATGAAATCACTTGTTTCTTTACGATCTAAATATCTTCGGTGGTCTAACATTCGAGAAACGTAAAATCTCTACTTCCAATTAGTCTCTTTTCAACTGGATCCTACTAACAAAACCAAATTCGTCATATCGAACAACCTATAAATAGTCATTGTTTGGTTTTACAATTAAGCGCGAGGTATTGGGAAAATTACTTACCAATAATATTTTTCCCTTCCACAGTTTTTCAGTGAAAACTAAGTCAATCATACAATAAGAAAAATATAGAGAAAGCACAGTAATGACACAAGAGATTTATACTGGTTCACCCCAACTATGGGCTACGTCCAGTCTTTCACGACAATGGGTTCTACTATGATATTGGGATAATAATGGACAATACAATAATCTCTCAAATCTAGAGACCTCGACAAAAGCCACCTAGCTTCTAGGAACTACAACAATATAATCTTAGGAAACAAGAATGAAAAACCTCACAAAATACCCACGAGAATTGGTTGCCGACTTCGCTTTACAACCCCCGAGATCTCGCCTCTAAAACTCTGCCTAATACTACTGCCACGCGTGTGGAATTAGTGCACCAACACTGCTCTTGCCATCCCTCTAATGAATGCGACAACACACATAAATAAAACCTAAACAAAAGGATTTTATTTATAGGAGGTCAGAAATCCTAATCTTTATAAGAAAAAAATATTATAATCATTTTCTTCATAGGACATGAGTTTCCTGTTTTGGCTCCATTATCTCAACAATAGGAAAATTATTTTCTTGTCCAAACTTTATGTGGCATATTAGATTTCAAAGCAATTGTAGGAGAACTTTTTATTGAGTCCAGTTCAATTTTCTCTACTTCTCCCCTAAAACCATCTCGAAAATTTTACATTCGACAACATGCATCTGACGCTTTTTATAATGATATGATTTATTCTTTCAAGCACATCATGCTGAGGAGTCTTATGAACTGTCATTTGATATCTAATCTCATGCCTTTTTATAATACTCTTAAAATGGACCTCTATACTCACCACGATTGTTTGATCTGCTGCATTTAAGTTTACTCCCTGTCTCTTTGTCTACGTGTAGTTAAATATCCTTAAAAAAATTTAAGACCCGATCCTTATATTTTAGGATACATACCTGCACGTTTCTAGAGTGTTCGTCAATGAATGTGACAAAATACAAACACAACCTAGAGACTTTTCCAATGAACCACGAATATCAGAATACCCCATATCCAGTACATTGGAGCTTCCATTTGCACGACCTTCAAATTATACTCTGTGTTGTTTAACAACTAAGCAATATAAATAAATTATAAGAGACACTCCATTTGCTTGTGGTATGAGATGCTTCTTTGTAAGAACGTCAAATTCTTTCTGACTCATATGTCTAAGTTGTTTATGTCATAGCTCCATCAACGATTCATCTTTCACTGGACTTACGAAGCTCTTTTGCAACTTTTACAGTCTTCACATACATGTTAAAGTTCGTATTTTCTCTAGTTACTACTAACGAGCCTCTGATGAGCTTCTACTGATTCTCTCCAAAATGATTGCAATAGCCATCATCGCCAAGTTGTTTTGTGGAAATGAGATTCAATTGTATATTAGAAACATATCTAACATTTTTCTGAATTAAATTATAGCCATTGTTCTGCAATAAGGGTCATTTATATTTCAAATTTACTAGTCTCCTATTCAAGGCTCTTCTTAATAGAAAAAGAATAAAGTGCAAATGCACACTCGTCACAAGTAATAAATGGAAGAGTCTTACAAGATCGATTCTCAGGGACAAAACACGCCTTTTACAAATAATGGTGATAAGTAAGTGCAATTGATTTTAGGATAAAACGAGTTAAAATGTTGCTTGTTTTGGTTTAAGAAAAACTTACAAGAATGGGAATCCAAACCTTTTACTTCAAATTAAATAAAAAGGCACGAGGAATAGTACTAGGCGCCAGGCGCGCCCTTTCTATTTTTGAATGATTATGCTTCTTAACCTATTTATGTCCAAGAGATCTCGAAGTTCTAAGTCCCTTACTAATATATCTATTAATTAAAAGCCTTAGTTTGATAAAAACCAACTGCAACAAAGGATTAAGGTCATAATGTTAAGCTACTTAAGTAGAACCTTTATGTCTAAAGTCTTTCTCTCCTTAATTTAATCACCTGAATTTCAAATAAACCATCCAACCCTTTTTGATATTGAATGAATGTGTTAACTCCTTAATTGGCCAAATCAATTTATTAACTTTTTTGAAATCAATTTTTAGTTGATGTTAATAAAACGGCAGCCTTTAGCCTTATGCTATCATCTTTTAAAAAGTATTTGACTATCCATAAAAGGGCAAGAAAAAAAAAATTTAACTCATAATTAAATTGTTAAAACTAAACTGAATAAAGGTGGATATGTAGATGACATTTTAAATGAATATTAAGTAAAAAACAATGGTGGAAAATTTAGAAAATTTAAACCCAAATTAACTTCACCTCTCTCTTTCTGAGTTAGGGAGCAAAACTTGTTCAAATTCACGAAAATGTGTGATTACTAGACCTTGTAATATAAATAACTCATGAGAGATGAAGGAGAATAAATAATTATGGAAATTTGAATGGAACAATCCGGTTTACAAATAAGAACTAAGAACAAGTTGGAAAATAAATGGAAAAGCTAACCAAAAGCTAACAAAAAGAAACTGAAATGGGCTGGACAAAGTAACTATAGAATTTGCTGAACCAAAGAAGCTAAACTAAGCTACAAAAACGTGATGAAATGTGAGGAGAGGGCTGATGAATTTATAGACTGCGACAAGTTGTTGGAGAGGCTGAGAAGATTGAGGTCTGTTCCACTACTTTATAACTCCTTTGACTGACCTATTCTGAATGCAATCGCATCATTCATCGCTGACATGACAAGTGACATAGAAAGAATATGTCATAATACATTAAAACTTGTGTTTCGCTAAAGGGTAATTTCGGGTGCAAGTAGAGTCGTCTACTGCCTAGGTTGATATTTCTGCATAAAAAGGTGAATTTTTTCTTTCAAGTTTTCAATCTTACGTGCCACAAAAACTGACATATACATGTTTATTCTATGCTCAAATTAGAAACGAAACCAACATTTTAACAACCATTTTTAAGAAGAATAAATTTAAAATAAACCTTTAGAAGTGTGACAATAAATGCTATCATCAGCCTATTGGGTATATCACATAACTTGTCTACTATTCAAGAGTTCAGAATTCCTCATTGGACATATCTTTGGCAACTCTGTCTTAATCACAGCATGAAACCTTTTGCAATAAAGCAAGTCTTCTATTTTTCTTTCCACAATTGCCAATTTGTTTCATTCAAACTAACATGTCATGACTACACAATGGAAAATTAACCAATCAATTAAACAAGCAAAATCAACCCTATCTTAATACCACTTGTTGGAATTTTAATGTGTAGTCCATAGTTTAACTACGAAAAATAAAATCAAAAGCACACAAGAGAAAATAGAGACACCAAGATTTACATGGAAATATCCTTAGTTCAAGGGAAACCCACACGACAGTTCCAAAGACTTACATGGAAACATCCTAAATATAATGGGTCACACTTATTTCTTCTTGTAATTAGAGGATACAACAAAATACATAAGGTTAGAGTCTTGGTTAACAACTGGTACATAAAAATACCCTTCATCTATAGAGAATGGAACCGAAAAATAAGGAGATGTCTCACCGACAAAGGCGACGCAAAGAAATTCAATCGAGAGAAATAAACTTATTTTGAACCAATCAACAGGAAAACAAGCTCTTTGTTTCTCTTTGATCGCATACACAAGCTCACTGGTTTGACAAAATTTTCTTCTTCAACCGGCAAAACCATACATATCCACCAGCTAAAGCTTATACGTAATTTTATCTTCTTTTTTTTTAAATTAATACTTAAAAACTGTTTTTCTGTAGTCTGCAAGTGCCCACAGTGGGAATATGTTCCTATATAATCCATAATGTTGCATGCAGGTGCCCATAAATACTCCCATTATTTCCTGCCGCATAACACCACATATTTAAATATGAAATTAAATAATAAAATAAAATAATCAATTAATTAAGACAATATGTTATTTCACCTGTTGAGGGTAATCTCCATCTTCCAATTGGGAATTAATCAATAGCCTAGCAGCACGGTGAAGAGGAGATGGATCTCTTTCTACCTGTAGTCATTTATAGATTATATATTTATTTATTGACAAAAATTTAATTAAATTAGTTAATTAAGCTAACCTGTTGAGCATGGATCAAAGCGATTAAAGCAAAAGAAGTTTGAACCAAATTTGAAGTATTTCCTTGAAGAGGTGTATATGCTTTCTTGATACATGAAACATGACTCTCTCCCCAACCACCATCTTCACATTGAGTTTTAAGTAGAAAATCCACACCTCTTCTCATTGCTAAGCAATTATCACAAGTGTTTCCGGCTGCGGCTAATCCTTTTATAGCAAAAAATGTAGCATATAAGTGACATATTCCCCAGTTTCCGTACCATTATCCATCTTCTTTCTGTGTTTCTTTGATGTAATTTGTTGCTTTTGTTATAAACGTCTCGATCTCTCTCCTCCTGTGACTTGGAAATAGCTTCTTAAAAAGCACTAGCGCCTGTATCGATGATGATGTGCATTCTACGTATCTAATTTCAATGATCACATTCATTGATAAAAGAAAATTAAAAAAAAAAAAGAAAAGAAAAAAACCTGCATGTAATATTTGCGAATACTAGTCTTAGATTATTTACGTACTCATACTCCAATATTGAGTTCTCTAAGTATTCCACAGGATTCAATCGCTGGAAAGTATAAGATCACAAAAAATTGATATTAATTAGTAATCTCTGTTCTTTTAAGATTTAAACTTGATAGTATATATTTTATAAATTATGTGTTTTACTTCAAACCATGATGAAAGAGTGCCTGTTGGTTCCCAAGCTGATACCCCTCCATTTTTTGCCTATTTAAATAAGAATTAAAACTTTGTTGTTGAAGTTGTCATACTCCAAGTAATTGATGGAAAATTTGATGAAAACATATAATAGTTCTAAAAAAAGGATACACAAAGTGATAACACAACATTGAATATTATAATTAGTATTGAGATTTGTTATTGTTATTAATTAATTTAAGCATTTAAGAGAAAAATAAGAGAGAAATCAATAACTTGAAGTATTATGAATTTCAGTTCACTACCTGGAGGGACAATATGATATTTATAGCATCAAAAAAGCGTTGTGGTTCCATGGGATCTCCTACGATGTCTGAAGGCATTGTCGAGAATATCAAACAACACTGAGACATCATTTATTAATGAGAAATTAGCAAGTAATTTTTAAATTTAAATTTACTTCAACTTTAGAAATTAGAACACACAGTACCATTAAGTTTTCAGCAGTACAATCAGAAACTTGCATCCCTTCATCTTGATCAGAGAATGGCCATGCTCCTTTTGATATGTGATGATACATGCTTTGGAAATCTCCCGAACGATTTTCTCTTATCTTTACAGAGTTACCAAAACAAAATTAAATAATTAAAATAAATATACAAATGTTTATCTAAATGAAATAATTGTACCTGTGATTGTTTGATAAAGTGGTGCCCTTTTTTAAGTGTGTCGGAGAATTCATGGTGGAGATTAGTAGCAAGAATGGCTTGTATCGCGAAGGAAACATCCCAACATTGGCTATTGGCACCCTACTCATATACATACATATATGTATAATATTTTGAACAAAGTAAATATTAATATAATAATAAAATGTAATACTAACTTGTATTTTCATTCCATCTTCACCAACCCATATGTAATCTTTGACCCTGGCGAGATGCTTCTTGTAAGCTTCTCCATTGGGATCATCAGCCCAAGAAGCAACCATGAACCATGCCTACATGTTCAATACCCCTCCATCATATCAATTACGTTGCATTTATATAAATAATTTATATATATATTTAGAATCAATAAATAATATAGAAAAAGTAATGAAGTAATAAACCTTATTCACACCGTTTCCAAGTATGCAACGACTATTGTGATTTTCATAATCAATGAGGCGCTTGGTTATTTGAAGAGCTTGATTTCTTACTTTTTTAAATGCCCAACTACTCAAGAGGGGTTCTCCCACGTACTGAAGAGCATCGCACCCTAACTTTAGAATTAATGAACTCTCAAAGCATTTATCCTCCTACATTATTCATTGCAATCAAGATATATTAAGGGTCTTATATAATAAATAAATATTGAACAAATCAAACATTCCTCAATCAACTATTAAGATTGTTATATTAGAGCAGCTTTCTAGCACTTAATAAAACCAATTTTCCATTGTAAATTTAAGGGAGGAAAAATATGGAGAGGATGCAAAAAAGACAGACAGGGTTTCATTGGGCACTTATTTGCTTACATGATACAAACTCAATAACCTAGGTACAGTGATAAAATATTATTAAAATATTTGGTCTACATAATCCCAAATCATAATACGAGTATGAAATAATCTATTTCAAATAACATTGTCTAAACTATATTTAATTCAAATAACATAATCGAATAATATATCAAGCAGCCCTAAGTGGTAATGAAAATGTCAATTCCAACCATCAATGTCAATACCAACAAATTCCAATGCCAATACAATACAAATCTCCACAATTCAGCCACCTCTCGGTGCTGCAGTCTCAAACACAACTTTCTCCATGCTCAAAGCCGTGAGGGTCATGCTCAAAGTGAATAATATCCATACCATTATGGAGATACTTGCAAGTACCCAATCGAAGGTACGAGGGTATTGTTGTTCTTAAAAAGTGGTATCAGAGTCATGGCAAAAACATAGTTATGTGGGAGAAATTGTCGGATGACGAATAAGAGTGATTGGTAAATCCTTTAGTGATAACACTTGTTTTTAAGGGTTAAAAGTTAGTTTTTGTACATACTTTAGGACTTAAATGATTCATACTTGTCCATGAACTTTATATATCAAGTACATAATGTTAATGTTTGAGTAGGACATATGAATAATGCATAAGTATGGAAATTCAACACTTTTTGGAGCAAATGTAACAAAAACATACAATTTTTTTGTTATGCAGGTCAGTAGCGTCTAACACTATTTCTAACGATTTTTGCAAAATGTTTTGTTTTGAGTGGAGGGCAAGAAGGACATTTTATTAGTTGATTGAAATCGTTAAGTTGTTGGGAAAAAAATATAGATCAATCGATCCTCCTGTAAGTTCTTCGAACAGGAACTATTTGATTTTCCCCTTCCACAAGCTAAAAGTAGATAAATAACAATAACAAACGAATAAGAGATAGGGATAAAAAAACTTAACACCACAGGGATTATACTGGTTTGCCCTATCTTGGGACTACGTCCAGTCTTTTGTGAAAAAACAGGTTCAACTATATTTTGGAATATTACAATGGAGATCTCACTCAAGATATTACTATCTTGCTTCTAAGTACCCTAACAATGGCTACCTAGGATTACACAATTGGAAAAACCCTCACTAAACCCATGAGATACAAACTTTTTTTTCATACACTGCTCACAACCACTCAAGTCTCTTTTATTTGGACTCTATATAAATGAAACCTTAACAAAAGGGTTCTATTTATAAGAAGTTAAATATCTCAATCATTATAGGAAATGTAATCCTTATAAGACAGTAATATCCTACTCATTGTAGGAATTGATAGTAGTGTTGAAAATCTTTTTCCTCGTAGGACACGAGTCATCTGTTTTGGCTCCATTATCCCAACAATCTCCCACTTGGAGACAAAACATCGATCTTGCCTTCCACTGCAACAATAGTCTCTGATAATCTTGGAAAACTTCAAGGCTTCTTCTTCAACAACTTCTAATCTTCTTGAAAAAATCTTCAAGGCTTCTTCTGCAAATTTAAAAACTTGTAAAAAATAATATTAGAAATCATCAGTCCCATCTGTCTTTGCCCTGAGGTCGAGCAATCTACATGGTCTTGTCTTCCAGAAGCAAGAGACATAGCCACGTTCTCCTACTCAAACTAAGTGGCGATATATGAATCTTTCTTCTTCGTTCTCAAACATTGATTCTTGAAGAAAGAACTTCCCACTGATGGCTTGACAACAGTATTCAAGCCTGCTGCCAGAATTGAAACTCCATTCTTTACCACAGCACCTACTGAGTTTATCTTCTCTGATGCAACTGTTCGCTGACGCGACTTCATCAATTCATCCATTCGTCTGACAACTAGAGATAATCCCAGACAACCTAAAGAACCTGTTCTTGTTCTTTGACTTCCCAATTGTTGTTCCTGAATTGATGGCAGATCCTCCTGATCTATTCTGATTGTCTTTGTTGCTGACTTAGTCCTAACTACTTTGACACCATTTGCAACTTGCATCCACTGTTTCAATGACCTCTGGCAATACTCAATTGCGACATGTAAATTGTAGATCTTCTATGGCCAATTGCCACAAACTTTGATCCTTTGGTGAGCTTCCACTGGTTCCCACCAAACTCACTTTGATAACCATCATCGTCCAACTTACCTGTAGAGATAAGGTTCATTCTGATACTGGGTACATACCTGACATCTCGCAGTAATAACTCAGTCCCACTACTAGTCTTCAATCGTATATTTCCAATCCCTTTAGTCTTGGAAAGTCTTCCATTCCCCATCTTCACGTGGTCGCGATTACCTCTTCTGAAAGATGTGAATAATCTTGATCTACTTGAAGATATGTGTACTAAAGCTGCGCTGTTTATTACCCACTTAGATGACTGGTTTCCTGTTTCTCTGTTGCTTTCAACATAGACGAGGGCATCGTATACAACTGCATTTGACTCTGCCATATACCTTTTCAGATCCTCTTTTAATATTGTACAGTTTTTCTTGATGTGTCTTTTATGTGACAATGAAAACATTTAGCATCTCTCTTCCAATCCCTCATAGTATGCTTCTGCTGCCTGTCTTCAGACGCAACCTTCTCTTTACCTTTCAACAGTCAATGATGAGCCTTGTATCGAAGTAGATTCTTTTCCACTCCCTTTTTTTGCGAATTTCTTCAGCAATTGCCGCATCAAAAATTTCTGAGAATTTCAAAGATTTGTCTCCTAACGAATTGGACAATGTTGTCTTCATGGTTTCCCATCTTTCAGGTAAGGATGTTAGCAACTGAATAGCATTCACTTCGTCACTAAAAGTAATTCTAACTGGTGCCAATTGATTAATTAATTTTGTGACCTCAGTTATGTGAGAATTGATAGAAGTATTCTCTTCCATTTGAATGTTAAAGAATCTCCTTACGAGATATACCTTATTATTAGCTTATGGTTTCTCGTACCTATTCTCCAGTGCTTTCATCAGATTTATTGTTGTCGTTTCATTTGCTACGAGACTTGCCACATTCATCGACAAACACAATCTGATAAAGGCAATTGCCTGTTCATTCGTCTCTACCCAATCTTCATCTTTCATCCCTACTGGTCGTTCCTTTAAAGCTTTATTCAACTTCTTGCATGTCAAGTAATCCTTAATCTGCATCTTCCAATATTCGAAATTAGCCCCATCGAAATTCATGATTCCTTCAAAACCTGACTTCTTTACTGATCCCGTGACCCAATGAACCAAACGCTCTGATACCAATTGTTGGGAAAAAAAATATAGATCAATCGATCCTCCTGTAAGTTCTTCAAACAGGAACTATTTGATTTTCTCCTTCCACAGGCTAAAAGCAGATAAGTAAGTAACAATAACAAAGAAATAAGAGATAGGGATAGAAAAGCCTAACACCACAGGGATTATACTGGTTCGCCCCTATCTTGGGACTACGTCCAGTCTTCTACGAAAAAACAGATTCAATTATAGTTGAGAATATTACAATGGAGATCTCACTCGAGATATTTCAATCTTGCTTCTAAGTACCCTAACAATGGCTACCTAGAATTACACAATTGGAAATACTCTCACTAAACCCATGAGATACAAACTTTTTTTCATACATTGCTCACAACTACTCAGTCTCTCTTACTGGGACTTTGTACAAATGAAACCTTAACAAAAGGGTTCTATTTATAAGAGGTCAAATATCTCAGTCCTTATAGGAAAACAATATTGTAATCCTTATAAGACAATAATATCCTACTCCTTATAGGAATTGGTACTAATGTTGAAAATCCTTTTCCTCGTAGGACACGGGTCATCTGTTTTAGCTCCATTATCCCAACATAAGTCGCAGCTATCGAGTCGGTTGGAGGTCTGATAATAAAAAATTCTACCAATCTCCTCCCTTTTTGATAGATTGTTATAACCAAGCAGATTCTATAAATTCTCACCACTTCTGCAACAGTGGAAGATCAACATTTTCATCATTATTCTTTAGTTGTAGGGTTTAGATCAGTTCTTTAGTTGTAGGGTAGTAATTTCTAGGTTGTAATCATACAGAGACATGTATTTCATTCTTGTCCTAGGCTCTGAAGCAGCCAAAAGCTCTTTGTGATGAGAGTAGAATTCATTTCCAGTAGAAGTCAAGTATGTGTCTGGTTCTATTTTAATTCTTGTGAAGGAGAGGCATTGTCCTTAATCAGTATCTTGCTATTTTCAAAACCAAGACATCACTACGACAACCATTTATGTGACCAAGAAGACTGATTGTGATTGAAAGTTCTTCACAACATTTTAAAACAAAGTACATGTGGATACGAACTCGGAATACTTTTTTCCCTATATTACTTGGGGCAGTGTATGCTTGCACTCAACCTCTTATCTATCAAGATAGAAGCCCTATAGAAGCATCCTCCCTCAGTGGAAGAGATCTGCCTCAGTTAAAGAATCCTATAGATGCCTGGGACAAAGGTTCAAATGATGGGATTCATGACATTGGTGCATACCCCGCCAACCTCACCCACGGCTAGAGGGTTGTGCCCTCGGCATATGGAGACTGTGTCGACCATAGAGCCCTTGAGATTACTTTAGGGCCAAGGTTTGAAGGACATAATTCTCACTGAATGAGCGAACTCCAGCCATATCGGCCCATGACTAGAGGCATGCGCCATTGGCATAAGAGATCCACCTAAGCCACAAAGCTCGTAGATCGCCATGGGGCCAAGGTTCAAAAGACGAAATCTTTGTGGATGGAACCGACCCCAACGAAAGCGATATACGACTAGAGGAATGTCTCCTTAGCAAAAGATAATCATATTAG